GGCTAGGTAACATCTTCAGTGCTAAAATGGGATCCCAATTTGGCACTGAAGATGTTACCTAGCCGGGTAATGAAACGTTTGCAAAAAAAGAACCAAGCTCAGAGAACCCCAAGGACTCCACAGTTCAACCCTGAGCTACACATATTTGCCTCTATTGGTAGGAGCAAATTGTTAGACATCAACATGATTTTCAACATTCTCCTTTTCTTCTCAATCAACTCCAAGGAATTCCTCTTCTGCAGATAATGTCAACCTGCCTGGAATACAGATGTTCTTGAAAGCTAACAGCCTTCTTCAATTACACCCCTTCAAATGCACATAAACTATAACTTCTAGAATTCCCAGCCAGATTGACCAATCAAAATTATGTACTCTCAATGCATATGAAGGGCATGACGTTGAAAAAGGCTAGGCATTTACATTGTTGAAAAAGGCTAGGCATTTACATGGATAAGGTGGGCTACAGCAAATCAGTAAGGCAATTAATTCTTTCAAGCCAGTTTACCTAACCCAATACGAATCTTTTAATGAAACTGCATGATAGCTACCTTCAAAACAATTGTGCATTAAAAAAGGCTATCACTAAATTAGAGATACTGAGAACCAGGAGGCAGTATGTGACATTTCATCCCTATTGGAACTTGTCAGATGTATGTAGCCAAGTCTTATTCTACAGCATTCAAACCTTCTACTGGACATTGAATACATGGACTTGAACCCACAAGCCTTACACTTGCTGACTATGCAGGAAGGGCCTTGCAAATTACTGACAGTCAGGCCAAGAGAGCTCTAAAGCTACATACACTGTATAGCCAACAAGCGCAAGGCCTGTGACTTTAAGTCTTGTTAAAGGGTTGAACAGGACATCTAGAATGGCACCTAAAGAGCCCCAATAAGAATGAAACCGGTTGTGTAGTGCTTCCTACTGGTCAATCGGTAATATAACATATGTAGGCTTTACATTATGTCATGCTCCTGTGTTTGAGACAACGCTCTACTTTTGAAAGTATTATTTTCCCAAGGAGACAGGTCACATTCATTCAATAACCAACATGCACCAAAATACATAAGTAGCAGATGTTAAATTCACATACTGCACTAAACCATAACGTAAATCTGCTTGCTTTAAAATAATGTCTGAATACAATCAAATATGGCTTATTTAAATTCTGTTTAACCCTGCCTATATGTGACTCACATTTGTTTAAGATTTAAAAATGGATATCGTCCTTTGCATTCATCATGCCCAGATCTAGAACCCCCCCCCCCCCCAAAAAAAACCCACATGCAATTTAACAGCATTTGCACTGAATAAAATCTCCAGGAGAACTTACTATTAGTTTAAAGTCTTTATTGGGATAAAATTGGATGCCGTTTAATGTGTCCCTTTCTTCCTACAATAAAAAGAAACGTTAACAGATATTGAAGCATGATCTGTGGAAGTAAACATTACCCTAGCAACAGAAAGTCTGAATTATTTTTTAAAATTGCAAATGAAAGTTCTCAACAGATTCTTAGGGAAAAATGCAGGACAAGGGGAGAAGAGCTGATTTGCTTGTCTTCTTTTACTCCTTATTTTGAGCTGTCACTGAACAGACAATGCAATGTTACTATTTTCACTAATAGGAGAGCTAACAAATGTTGTCTGTAGCCACAAGTTGTCATTATGGTATATTCAAGTGAATATGTGTACTGTATCTGTCCTATGTTTCAGCTGAATTGTAATAGAAACCTAAGGTATATAAAGCACCAATTCACTTTAGCAGCAAAAGGAATGAATGAAATCTAGAGTATACAGAAGGATGAAAGAACAGCCAGATCCATGTTTTGTGGGTCAGCGAGAGCATAACAAGTGTAGTGCCCAATTTGTGAATAAGAAAACAACCTTCAATATTATTAACTGACCAGCCATATATTTCATTATCAAGAAAATTCCTTGATTTTCAGTTCCAACTGTCACTTTGACGGTATCTGGAAAAAATCCATTATTTTAATGCATGAATCCATTTTCATGCTAATATGAAATGCCAAAGTATTGGACTAGGGAGACTCAGTTCTGCTTGGTGGAAGACTATGGACCAATCAGTGTTGCTCAGCCTTGAAGAAAAGCTGTGTGTAAAACAAGCAAATCAACGCATGGAGGCTTCTATGAAGAAAATACAGGAAGAAGGAAAATGAAGTATCTACTTCCTACCATTCAGCTCTCACTAGCAAATGCCTCTTCTGATGCTCCAATTAACACTGCAGAGAAACCCAGGCTTCCCATTCTCTTTTGGCACAGACACCTGTTAGCCCTTACTAGGTAGACCAGACCAGAAATCAACTTCACAGGAAGACCAGTGAAATAGGGAGGTATTTGCCTGAACCACTTCTGAATATTATCTTGTTTTCCAGGACTTAAGAATGTTTCAACCCCCTTTGCCTAGGAACAGTTCTTGCGTATTTCTGTCAAGGCCACCTCCCTTACCCTCTACACCATCATAGATCAATTGTGAACACTTCCTTATGTTACTATTCTGGAACCAATTCTATGATTTGCATCAGAATTTCAGTATGTTTAGAAATTCTTTCTTTATAACAAGAGAGAGAACACCAAGCAAGATTTTCTCTTTCCTGTAAATTCTTGTAAGGATGACCTCAATCTGCTTTAGATGAATTGTTCCACACCATTTTAAGATGGGTGCCAAACTGCTACTATTAAACACAATAGCCCGCTGCATAAAGAATAAGTAAATTATATGATCAACACAACAAAATGTTCCTTGTTTTCAACCTTTGTGACAATGTAGAATAGTCTTTGTTCTAGCATATCCCACTGATACCAAATGAAATCATCAGCAATTCTCTCTTTCGAAAGCCGGCTTGAATTTTCAATCATCTAAAAGGGAAGGAAATAAACACTATTATAGGAGAGAAATGGTACAATATCATGTATCAAATCCAATCCAATCTCCATTTTTTGGAACTTATTTGTTCTGAGAATTTCTCAGAACATATTTATTCTGAGAATTTAACTCCTTCCCAGAACATCTACACACACAAGATATAGTCTCACATGCTTCTTTCCCTGTCCCTTCCAATCTCTTGAATACTGGAGGATACTCAAGAACCTATGGTTCTCCAGAAGTTACTGAACTACTACCAGTTTCACCCAGCAAGAGAACTGTAGTTCAACAACATTACAGCCAAATCTCCCCAAACTTGCTGTAAGAAGGAACATTTGAGCTCATCAACCTGCAACTAGATTATTGGGATAAGCATTACATAAGTCTGTAATGATTTTTGGCCATCTCTCAATGATTTTACTTTACCTTGTAATTACTGGTCAAAACCACATCAAACTTATGCACATGTAATTATTTTTACATGATGAAAAACTGCATTTAGAACAAGGCTTTGATATTTTCACTCTGCCCAATCTCACTTCAAAAAAAAAAAAGCATGAAAGAAGGAAAATTTAAACTTACCACCCTGTCTCCTTCTTTGACAGTTCTGATATCCAATTTTTCAACATCTTAAAAAACATAAATACAACCTTATGTTACAAATATCAAGGTACAAAATATCAGGCGCATCGAACATTCTTTAAGAAATTTGCACTTTGGTTCTATGCATTTGTTCATTTCTGGTACCAGGGTTCAAAGTGTGTGGGGGAGAAGTGGAAAAATAGCAAATAAAATGCAGTGACAAAAGTCTTGGATTGGGGCAACTCAAAATCAGGTCCACTCTTTGGACCAATGTTTCTCAACCTCAGCCACTTTAAGATGTGTGGACTTCAACTCCCAGGATTCCTCAGCCGCCCATGCTGGCCGGGGAATTCTGGGAGTTGAAGTCCACCCATCTTAAAGTTGCTGAGGTTGAGGAACACTGCTTTGGACTGATCATTATTTGCATGAAAGTATATGACCAAGTGGGGTGCTGATGGTCGAATATATGCTGTTATAAATTCAAAATTATAATGTTAAATCTCCTTCCGATGATTCAAAGTTTTCAGCATATTAATAAAATGATACTATAGTTTGAAAAAAAGGCAATAATATTAGGAAAAGAGTGAGAAGTCTAAAAAGTTTCCATCAACATTAAACAAATAAAGCATCGTAATACTGTACCATGTATTTTATATACATTACAGATTTCAGATTTCTTAATCAATGGGTTTTGAAATAGTAATGCTAATTTTTCTTTAGTGGATGAGATTTTTGTAAAAAAACAGGACTGGTTTACCACATTTACCAAAGAATCAATTTACTAATTTTATGAATTTACTTGACTTCTTTCACTTCAATTAAATCTACAAAATCGGAAAGATTTCCTGGTTCTGATAGATTTCGAATGGAGCCCTACAAAAAGTATTCTTGGGTTATGTCTTATGTCTTCTATTTTAGTAGAGTTACTGTATATGATGAAGCTTTCTCAAATAAACCTTTGCATTTTAGCTTTAATGAGACAAATTTCAATTATTCTTAAAGCTAGGAAGGATTCTGTCATTTATTCTAATTAGAGATCCGTTTCCTTGATAAATGCGGATACTAAAATTTTAACAGCTGGTTTGAGTCTATGATTACAGGATATTCTTCCAATTGCTCTGCACCCAGCTCATCCTAGATTTCTATAAGCTTCTGACAGTATCACAGTTTGAACTGATTCTCTTCCTGTAACTCCAGATAGATAAGAACCAGTTACTATAATTTCCTTAGATGCTAAGAAAACCTCTGAAATGTAATGTTGGACATGTGTGCGGTGTGTTACACAACTGAAGTTTTCAGGCATGGGTTTCGGATAATATAATGATCTTGTAAGGTTGGAAGGAGAAATCTACACTTGATTTGTAGCAATGTATTAAAGTTACATGTTGTCTGTCAACATCTGAATTACACTTTCTTTTTCAGCAAAGGACATAGGAAGAAGATTTTCAAGCAATGTGGTCAAAGTTTTTGCGTTGCTCTGCTTATAACTTAATTTTCCAAGCCTTTTTTTAGAATTAAGTTGGAATAATGTCACAGCGGTATTGTATGTATATTTATTTCAGTTACTTCAGCACATTAACATTATTTGAAAAATTCATTCCATTTACTCTTGCCCATAAACACTGCCATTCTGAATACACATGGAGAAAACAAAGGGAACAAAATACATGCAGCATTTCTAACACACAATTGTGGTATCTATGTGCATCTCTATTCCTATAGCCTTTAAACACACTAAACTCTAGAACCTGCCAGAGAACTTGCAATCAAAATGCAGAACTAAAAGCACTTACATTTATCTTCTGAAATGAGTAAGAGGCAGCTATCTGGAAACAACTTTTTTTCTGTAACGGGATATAGAAACTGAAAAAGAAAATTGTTCAGAGATAAAAATATTACAATTTGCCACTGACAACTGGATCCTATTGGATCCTATTAACATAACATTATTTGAGGGACCACTTCCACCCAATTATATCTGCCCGTCCCATCGGGTCTGGAAGAAGAGGTATGCTGTGGGTCCCATCTGCGAAAAAGTTTCATCTGGCAGGACCCAGAAGATGGGCCTTTTCTGCTGTGGCACCCGCCCTGCGGAACACTGTCCCCCCTCAAGGTGAGATTGGCCCCATCCTTGACATCCTTCCAGAAGCCTTTAAAACATGGCTGTGTCAACAGCCTGGGGATCTCAAGGAAATGGTGATTTGATGAGACGGCTGCACTGTTTTTAACATCAATTCTCTCCACTATCTTGTTATGAATAATATTGCTGATGTCTTTCAATTGTAGTTTTTAACATTTGGATTTTATGATGTTTTTTATCGTAAGCCGCCTAGAATCACTTTATTGTGAGATGGGGGGGCTATATAAATGTGATAAATAAATAAATATTTTAATACTGAATGAGTTTATCATTAAAAAGCAAGTCCCATTTTGGGGGCATAGGTAGCACAACACTGTTTATTGGGCTTAGTAAAAGTATTGCAAAGATGCACTGCCTTTAGCACTTTCTAATATTGTCCTACCATACAAATAATTCTAAGTCTGGAGGAAAAGGTTAGTAAGATCACTTACTTGTACTCTGACATAGCTATCCACAGCCTTCAAAACTTTCACATTATTAAGTGGATGAATTTCAATTAGCAAGGTCAGACATTTAGACACTGGAATGAAAAAACACAAAGAAGAGAATATTAATCCATGGTTAAGTGATTTCTTAAGTCCATTTAGGAAACGTTCAATAATAAAAGTACCTGGTTGAAATAGGAGCTTTTTTTCTTCCTGTGCTGTCTGAAGAAAACTGATGGCTAGTTTTAAAAAAAAAGATATTGAAAATGTAAGCATTCATATTTTGAAAACACAGAAAATATTTTCAGAAAATATTTTTGCAGAAGGAAGTTGTGGGAGACAGTTCAGGTCACCTGTGCTGCTCCAGCCACAGTTTTTGTTCACTATACTTTAGGGATGTGCAAGTATTATTATGACCAAACCATTCTGGACTCAAATTAAATGGTTTTAGTTGCCTATTGCTGAATGAAACATGTGTTTTTTGGCCATTTTGGTTCGTAGATGGAATGAAATGGGGCTGTTTTTTTAACCAAATAAAGATCAAAACACAAATATTCTGGGCAAAAGTGGTTCGGAAAATCCAAAAAACTTCCTGGGTGACAACATGTGTGGGTATCAGTGGCTAGGGAGAGGAGGAGAAGGAAAAATACTGAGAAGATCAAGGAGCAAGTGACTGTGAGATTTACTGCACTTAGTTATTGACAGCAGTTGTAGCTGACATGCGGAGGAGCTAGAAAGATGGGTGGATAGGTGGGCACACCAGCACACTGACCACGTAGGGAAGGCACAACAACAAGCTACGCAAAGGCCTTCCTAGCCACAACTGCCACCTGCTCCTCGAGCAGAAGTCGTGAGTCTAGGAGGACCCTCAGATTGCACACCGGGTCTGTCAGGGGCAGTGTGACCCCATTCAGTGCCAAAGATGGCATAGTTCTAGGACCAGTATGCCTCAAAACCCAGAGCCACTCAGTCTTGCCAGGGTTCAGCTGAAGTCTGTTGTTCCCCATTTAGACCCGCACAGCTTCCAGGCACTGGGATAAGATGGTCACAGCATTGCCTAATTCACCAGGGGCAGAAATATATAACCTCACCCCATGCTGATGGATGAGCTCACCCAGCAGCCTCATGTAGATGTTAAATAGGAGAGAGCACCAAAACCTGCAGCACCCCACATAGTAGGGGCTGAGGACAGGACTTCTCCCCAGTCACCACTGCCTGGAATCGACCCTGGAGAAAGGATGCGAACCGGCACAACACTGTGCCACCCAACCCCAATCCTGAGTCAGTCCAGTAGTATAACATAGTTGGTGGTATCAAAAGCCACTGGGAGGTCAAGTAGAGCAAGGATGAATGCACAACACCAGAGATCCTCTAAAAGTGTGACCAATGCTGTTTCCATTCCATACTCGGGTCTGAATCCTGACTGAAAAGGATCCAGATAATCTGTTTCATCCATGGTCCTCTGAAGCTGTTGTACAAACACCTTTTCAACCATCTTCCCCAAAAAGGGGAGGTTAGATACTGGATGAAAATTGTCCAGTATGGTGGGGCCTAGCAATGGCTTCTTGAGGAGGGGGCAAAGCAAGGCCTTTTTAAGAGTAAAGGAACAAGCCCCTCACTCAAAGAAGAATTAACCACTGCTGGAATCTACTTACATGACACTCCCCAGGCTGCTTTAACAAGCCAGGAGGGGCATGGATCTAAAGAGCAGGTGGCTGAGCCCACAGTCCTAAGGACCCTGTCCACTTCCTCAGGTCCAACAGGTTCAAACCGTTTCCAGATAACTGGGCAAGACTCCACCCTAGGTATCTCCTTTGGACCTGCAACAAGGCCGGCGTCCAACTGAGATTGAATCTGAGCAACTTTGTCTGACAGAAGCTGAGCAAATTTCTCTGCATGTCCCTGTAAAAAGTTCTCCTAGCCCCCTTTACCCAAGAGGGCTTGTGTCACTAGAAACAGGGCTGTGGGGCAGCTATTTGCAGACGCAATAACGGCGGAGAAATACTGACATTTAGCCACCCTTACTGCCACAAGGTAGGCCTTAATAGCAGCTCTAACCCATGTTTGGTCAAGTTCATCCTTTGTTGAACACCAGCAGTCCTCTAGATATCTCTTCTCTCATTTCATCTCTCTCAGCTCCTACGTGAACCACGGGGACTGATGGGATCCCCGAGGGGGGAGAGGTCACATGGGCATAATCTGATCCAAGGCCTCAGCCATCCCCTTATTCCAAGTGGCAACCAAGGCTTCGGATGGACCATGCAGCAGACCAGCAGGAACAACCCCCAGCTCCCTCTGAAACCCATCCGAGTCCATCAGTTGCTGGTGGCAGACCAATCTAATGGGTCCAGCCTCCCTGCAGTGGATAGTGGCACTAAAGAATTCCATGGAAATCAGGGTGTGATCTGACCATGACAAGGGGGACACCAAAAGCTCCCCAATTTCAGATCACATAGCCACTGCTCCAACATGAACACCAGATCTGGTGTGTGACCACTGTCCCGTGTCAGGCTGTGGATGATCTGGGATAGGCCCATGGCCGTCATGGTGACCATGAACTCTCAAGCCACCTCAGACCCCATTCCTAGAGAAGCAGATTGAAGTCCCCGAGAACCATAAGTCTGGGGAACTCCACTGCCAACCCAGAAATGGAGTTAAAGAACTCAGGCAGGGAGGTTGCTGGGCAGCAGGGAGGCTGGTACAACAGCAACAATCCCAATTGATTCCTAGAACCAAACTTAATGAACAGGGAGATGTTGAGAAGCAACATCTCATTACATGACAATTTCTGAACACCTGAAAGTAGTATCTGTATTATAAAAGAGAGTAAAGGGGAGAGAATAATAATGAAATTTGTTAAAATTGAATGGATCTATATCAATATACAATATCGTTTGAATAGCAGGGCTTACCCAACAAGGTCTTTTCATGATTGATTGAGCAGCTGATCACACGTAGGTCTTTTTCAAAAGTATACAGGTGCTATTGAAAAAGAAATGGTTGTAACTTGTATTACAAACTTGCGTTTCCAAATCAAGCTAAGCCATATATGCATTACACTTGTGTTTAGCTTGGGGTGATGCATGATTCAGGCACTGTGTTTTGTTAACCATAATTTATGACTTAGCATTTTAGGTGAACCGAGCAAGCGATGCTATTCAGTAAACCATAAGAAACAAAAGTATGGTTTAGTTTAGCACAAAGTGTGAATGCAGTCACTAATTCATATTCACTTGAATGAGTCTGATTTGTTTTCTGTTGGTTCTTCTGGACACAGCTTTACCCACCAAAGTCCAACTAACTGAAGTCCTTGGAAAGCTTTTTGCCACAACATCTGAGTTATCAACCATTTCCCTAGCTGAGGTATGTGGTTGTTATTGTTCCTAGCGTTTCTCTCACTTGGTTGCAGGATCCACTTGTTTTGCACTAAGCTCTGCATGTTGTAGAACCTGATACGGATTAGGGGTGAGAAGGAGTAGGTCCAAGGTAACCCAGCTGGCCTCCATGCCCAAGGGAGGACTAGAACCTGGGTCTCCCCTCTCCTAATCAGACCATAACCACTACATCATGCTGGCCTTCTAACTCAAGGATCTGGTACCCACCTTATATTATTTCCGGAATATACTAAGGAGGGGTCAGGATTCAGCTTGGGAACCCATTTTATAACCTTAAATGACCAAAGGTCATGGAAATGCCTGCCCCCATATGAATTTATCCATGTCAATTAAAATAAGACATCTACAGAAGGATTCTTCTCCCAAGAGCAATAGACACTGTAAATCCTCTTCCACCTCCAAGGGGAAAAAAAATTAGGTCTCCTCTCCTAAATTTTATGATATTGGCTAAATTATTATATTGAACTTCTGGTTCTAAGAACTATTTTATATATATATATGTATATATAATATACATATTATATATATATATTTTCTATAGTTTTGCTATATATGTTTATACAACCAGACCTCATGCTTGTTGATTTTATTGCAAAAGATATGACTTTCTTGTAAACAATCTTGGCTGTAGCATTAAACAAAATATCTGATTATCGAACTGTATTTAATTCTTATGGAAGATAAATACAACAATAAGGGATACCTGATTTTTTTTACTGTTGTGATCATACAATCCAATATTGGTGTATTCCTGAGCCCCCTGTAAAGAAAGTGATTGAGTTTTAAATACTTATCCATATTTTAATTCCATTTTAAACATTTACTTTCCATTATGACAAAAACCCCTCTGTCAAGACTTCACCAGTTTTGTTTGTTTTCTACAGTCTGGCATACCTAAATTTTAAAGTTGGTATCTACTCTTCCATAGTTTTAAAGTGGTAGAAAACTTGACGTTACTTCATTCTTATATGCTGAGCTACTCTTAGCACGTAAAAAAGGCAGAAAAAATAGTTAAGGTTAGAAGTTATTTTAAGCTCAGAATCCTATTTTTGCCATGCCTTCCTTCAAGTCATTAATCCTGCATTAGGAAAACTTAAACTTGGTTTAATGGAATGCCTTGTTTTAATTTTGTTTGCTCCGTAGAGCAGTGCTTCTCAACCTTGGCGACTTTAAGAGGTGTGGACTTCAACTCCCAGAATTCCCCAGCCAGCCATGGCTGGCTGGGGAATTCTGGGAGTCGAAGTCCACACCTCTTAAAGTTGCCAAGGTTGAGAAACACTGGCTTAGAGTTTCTTGGAGAGAGATGGGTGGGCACATATTGGATAAATAAAATAAATTTTCCATCCCCTTTAACTTTTCTCAGTAAAGAGAAGAAGTGTGAAGGTATGGAGATCTGTTCCTGACACCCTTTCCATTTTGGTAGCCCATAAATAAAATCTTGCAAGATTGAGTAATTCTTCATCCACGACCAATCTCTTCTCACCTAGCAAAAACAATGTTGGGAAATTAAAAACACTCCCTAAGGTTTACATTTTATCAACTGGTGTTGCCCTGCCTTCATTTTGCTGGGCAGTGGACCTCATTCTTCATTTCGCACTTTGCTCCTTCAGGTCCAACTCAAGATCCCATTGATGGTAAAATCTGCTGCACCAGGGAATTACATGTGACCATTTCTCAAGTAAGAAACAAATCAATCTTACCTTCCAGGTATAAAGAACATTTCCATTTCTTTCCACATTTATTATATACAGTGTTTCCAAATTATTTCCCCAAGTATCTAAAAAAAAGCAAGCATTAATGCATTGTAAACTGCCTCAGTCCAGTTGTAGATGAAAGCCTATTTTGAAAAGAATATGCAAAGAAACATATGTTTACAATCAATGTGAATATAGTAAAAATCACTGATATTTTCAAACTCTTTTCAGTGGCTTTATTGGGGAGCGATGTTTCTGCATCATGAATAGGAAAACTGTTTAGAAGCTGAGTCTTACAGTTGGCTAAATCATAACATCACATGGATATTGTTAACTTCTGGGACAGTGAAACACAACTTTAAATTGATGGAATTGATCCATCACATGAAGATTCTTATTTAAAGAATCTTATGAGTCAAGAGTTCCTCGTCTCTTTTCTGTCCTTTGAACAGAGCAGCATCTTCTTAATTCTTGTAAATAACATATTTTTGTAAATAATAAAACAAATGAAAATGGTATTTTCAATTGTTTTATTATTTACAAAAATATGTTAAGTTATACATCATAAACGAAGTGTCCGTTCTATGGAGTATGGAATAAAGAATGGTGGGTGCCATTTACTTGTGTCAGTTTCAACTTATTTCATGGCAAATTGGGATTCTTTGGGAAAAAGTGGAGGGGTACCAATACTTTTGGCCGTGTCAGTATGTCTTTCAACTATGGTGAACTTCAAGAAGATTAGTATGAACTTTAGTATGCCGATCAAAGGCACTACAAGGCAGAAATAGGGATTCTCTTACCTACAAACACACTTTATATCAACATTTTTCATATTGATTCAAGAAACACTACACTCAATCAGCAAAAACTAGCAGGCGGGAAAGAAATGATGACCTATAACATGTGTGAGACCACTAAAATCAGAGTTAAATATGTGTGTTTCAGAATTGGGACTATACTGAGGTTTCTTGGCTAGATGGAACTTATGAAGATTTACTGGCAGCTGTGTTCTGGGGGCCCCTGAGTAATGCAAGCCCTATTGCTTTCCTACATGTACCACAATGTCACATGCTCCCAAAACGCGTGAAGCTTGCAACGTGACACTGCTGTCGTCGGTCTGACAAAAGCAGTTAATAGTCTAGGGCAGTGTTTCTCAACCTTGGCAGCTTGAAGATGTGTGGACTTCAACTGCCAGAATTCCCCAGCCAGCATGCTGGCTGGGGAATTCTGGCAGTTGAAGTCCACACATCTTGTTCCTCAGAAGAAAGCCCTACGGAATTAACTTATTCCCAAGTAAGCAGGAGTGTCCGTAAGCCAGTGTTTCTGTTCCTCAGAAGAAAGCCCTACGGAATTAACTTATTCCCAAGTAAGCAGGAGTGTCCGTAAGCCAGTGTTTCTCAACCTTGGCGGCTTGAAGATGTGTGGCCTTCAACTCCCAGAATTCCCCAGCCAGCATGCTGGCTGGGGAATTCTGGGAGTTGAAGTCCACACATCTTCAAGCCGCCAAGGTTGAGAAACACTGGCTTACGGACACTCCTGCTTACTTGGGAATAAGTTAATTCCGTAGGGCTTTCTTCTGAGGAACAAAATTGGATTACTCTATCACTAACTAAAATCAATATGGTTAATAAATATAAAATGTCCTTAGTTGGGAAGCTCCTCTAAATAACTTCTGCCTTACCCAACGAAACGGTTTGCAAAATGCCCAGATTTTAACTTTGACTTTTGCTTTATAGAAATTTGGAGTTCAACACCAAGGAAGCACTGAGCAATAAATAAATGCTTATACCACATTTCTGAGAAGAAAAAACTGCAGTGTCAAGTTGGAACACAATGAATGAAGGCTGGTATATATGTTAGTTAGCAGGAAGTTGGAATGAATAATAATTTCCTGTTGTCTCGTGTTTCAGTTCTAGCAGTACAGTATTAAGCCCTCTTTTTACATTAGTATACTACAAGATGACCTTATATCACCTTTTAAGGAAGTGTAAATAAGAATAAATTAGCGCTTTATATAAGTGTTTGCAGTTAGTTCCAATTAAATATGTAAATATACTCAAGGAATCCATCAGTCTTGGCACTGAACTTTGTTAACTTATAGTAAGTGGGGACAGATCCAGCCAAAAGTTAAAGTTAAGTGCTGCTTAAAGAGAAAGTAGAAAGAGTGATGTGTAACTTTGCTAGGGCCAGGCAAGCTACAAATCAAAGAATCCAACTTCTCAGGGCAGGAACTTCAACACAGGGCTTCCTCCAAACAGTGTTTACAGCTGTCACATTGAATTGAATTAAATTACTTGACAACTTGAAAGCTACTTGCCAACCACCTTTGCCAAAATACATCCGGCATCTCCCCTTTGAGGCCACATGCTGAAGAAACGGGTAACTTTTTCTGAGAGTTATGCAATCCTCAGAGAGCATATCCCTGACAGCTCTGTAAGATTTTAACAGCTTGGCAATGGGGTTCGTACCCCGCAACAAGGACACAGCCCGCGTATTAAAAAATGTTACTTCGGGGCGGGGGGAGCGCGGAATGAAGTCTGCGGGTTCGTTTCCAGCCGCCCAAGTCCAGGGCCGCGGTTGCAAAGCTGCGCGCAAAGGCCTCCAAGCGAGCGAGCGCGTCGGGCGCAGCTTCTGGCTAAGGAACCCGACCAGAGCGCCCGCGCCGGGCCGGGCTCGGCGGGGTTCTTCGGGCCGTTCCCTGCCCGCGGAGCGCCTCGCCGCCT